ACTCTCTTCCCCAAACTTTTTCCCCTCAGCCTTTTCCCCCTCTCCTTACCATCAGAGCCTGCTCTCCCTGAGCACATGGAAGCGAGGAGCAAGTCTGAAAACAATAACCTTGAAATTAAATATGACTGTAGCAATTTGTATATAGTACCCACAGGCTTGATTCATCTAAAATTGATCCATGCTATCTTTTCTTGAAACAGCTGCAAGTTTTAGCACAGGTATTCTATAAACACATTTTTGAGCAGCACTTGGAAGCCTACCTAAACGGAGTACAAACTACGCATGATATTAGAGCAAAGCCAAAAGCTTGCGATTTACCACACAGTCCATTGTGGTGGGCCCCAGCAGAGTCAACAACATTTCAAACCATGGTGAACCTGCTACTCACTGTGTGTATGTACTCCAGATCCATGTGCTAATAAGTGCCCCCACTCGTGACTGCAACCAGGTGTTCTCATCACAAGTCCTGGGATGCTCCAAAAATTTATATGCAAATCAGGCACAGGGCAACCTGGTCCACCTTCACCTCATGGACAACAGACCACGCTAATCATATGTGGCAGGCTGAAAGAGGGGGCAACAAAGGGATTTTGAGTGAACTGTTTGGGGGCCTCTTTGGTGTTGTTTGCCAGGCACTGAAGGCTGGTGAAGAAACAGGAATCATAGCAAATGGGAAAGAAAAGCACAGCTCAGCTGTGAGAATGAAGAGAAAAGAACCTATTCAGCCATCACAAGAGAAAGCTGAGAGGGAGCTGGTGGCCATCTATAAAAACTTACCGGGGGGACCAGTGGGGAATGGAAAAGACCCTGTTCCCCCGAGCACCTCCCGGAGTAACAAGGAATAACGGCTGTAAGTTGTTTGAGAGTAGATTCAGACTAGGCATCAGGAGGCGCTACTTCACAGTCAGGGCGGCTAGGATCTGGAACCAAGTTCCAAGGGAAGTGGTGCTGGCTCCTACCTTGGGGGTCTTTAAGAGGAGGCTTGACAATTACCTAGCTGGGGTCATATGAGCCCAATATTCTCTCCTGCCCAGGGCAGGGGTTCGGACTTAACGATCTACGTAGGTTCCTTCTGACCCTAACAACTATGAATCTATGAAACATGTATGCAATGCCATGGCTCACTAGGACTTAAAAAAGAGTGAGCACCCGGGAGGGCTGAACTTACTGGGCACTCCCATAGGTCATATTCAGATGGGCTACACTAACCTATTCTTGTCATAGGTTCCCATCAGCCTGATTGCCCAATGTGGGCCATGTGTTTTATAGTCACACTCAGCGTTGGCTGCATTCACATGAACTTCATAGTTGGTTTCCATTGCTGTGCACATGCTGTTTTTGGCAGCCTTTTAATGACAAACATATCTAGGAGATGTCTTTGTACGCAATTATAAGATGAAAGGCTTCCCCCACCCCTCATGCCCATGGGAGGCGGGGGGAGGGGGGGCAGCAAAAGGGGAGGAAGAAACCTCATCTTCTATTAGAGTAAATATGGTAGTTAGCTTAGAAACACCAGACAAATGAAACAGATAAAAGAGACTAGGAAAAAGCACAACCTACACTTCAGTTTCATTTTAATATGCCTCAATATATGTGAAGAATAAGGGATACTCATAACTACACCCACTGGTCTAAGGAAGAGCCAGTCCATCATGGGGATGCCCATAATATATACTGCCGATAGTTCCAACAAAATATGCCTCCCTGCAAGCAGAAGCTGGTGAGCTTCATGAAAATGGCTCACACTGCATGCCAGGTGGGCTGACATTTTCTGATGACCATCCAGGCCTTGGTTATGGAATGAATATTGTGCATTTAGAAATCCAGATTCTTGCACTACATCCTCTCCCCCACTAGAGCTGCTTTACTCTGACAGTTCAACGCACTCTTAAAAACTTATTTTAAAAAGCCACAAGAGAATTTCCCTGAGCTGTCAGCATCCTCCGATGTCCCCATGTTAATGCCTCCAATGCAAGAGGAACGAAAAAAAGGACAGCCTGGCCCAGCTCAGTAACTGCAGGCTACTACTGCATGTAGTCCAAGGACACCTCCACATTATGCTGGAGGAGAGAGAGGCTAAGCCCAGCAATGCACTCCCTGGAATGGGGGAGGTCCCAAAGATATGGTCAAGTCCCTTCTCCACTAAAGGTGCAACTCAGGAGACAATGCAATTGTCCACACTTTAGGAACCTGAAATGAGGATTTCCCATCCCAGATGTGCTTAACCTCATGCAACTGCATACCAGTAGGAGGGGAAAGCTGAAGTTTTAAAAAATAACTACCAGTGAAACAATTAACCAGAAACTCTCTGCACAGAGTAACAAAGCCCATTCCTCCCAGCACATGAACAGCTCCCAATGAATAAACTAATAATAGTAACTGGAATTTAGGCCTCCGTGTATGCGACCACAGCAATACCATCTTAACTAGAAAAAACAAAAGCAAACATTCAAGATCAAACAAACCTCTTGGTATTACAAATAACGCACCCTGGCCTCCAATTTTCAATTCCTCATTTGCGGTGTACATGTGATATGTTCCAAATGAACTTTCCAGAATACTTTTACCAGCGACTAGAACAGACAACAAATAAGACAACAGGGACTTCCTTTGTTCTAAGCATGAAGGATCCACTTCATTTTAGGGCTGGTGCCAACCTAATCTGGAATCAAACATTTACTGAATAATACATTTGCTGCCTGTTTTCTGACAAAGGAAGTTAATGGTATTTTCACCACCAACATTAAGTCAGCACACTGTTAGCAACTTCCTTCAAAAGAACTATTTCACAGCCAAAAAAAAATGCCATCTATTACCAAAGTACCTTGGATTGCTTCACTGACTTAAGTGAGAGAATGACAGAATGATGTTAACGAGTCAGAGGTTTGATTTTATGTGTACATCTAGGAACAGGTAGCATGTATATTGTAAAATTTTACAGTGCTTTTTCACTTTTCAGCTATTCAATGATCAAACTAAAAAGCCACTGTACTGCAATCAAAGCCAAATGGGACAAACATATTAAGTGAACAATCTTAAATTATTCAAGTTTCTCTTTCATTTAGGCCTTTAACTTCAAAATTATTTAATCTCTCCAAAAAGAAAAACAAGAAACACCCCACACCACATGACAGATGGCAGTAAGTTGACTTTTCACACATTAAGCTAGTCCTTTAGAAAAAGGAGCTTATCAAAGGAAGATTTTCTTGCTACCACTTTCCCACCCTGGACTCTGCTGAGAGGCTCTCATTTTGCTAGTGCTACTTTGGTAGCTCCCTGAACCTATGGTTTTTAACAAAAGATGAGCTCTTTCTGTTTAGACCATTACATTTCAATAGAACACAGCTTTTAGGAGTCATGTTAACTGACCAGATACTGACCTCAAGTTTTATTAACATATAGACAAGAGATGCTCAACATCATGTCAGCTGGCTTCTGGTAAACCCTGGTGTCTGTAGCTCTAGCCCATGATCCAGTTGACGCGATGCAGATTATGTAGGGTTACCATATGTCTGGGTTTTCCTGGACATATCTTCTTTTTTGGCCCCCTATACTGTGTCCGGGCAGATTTTTAAAATAAGAGCAAATGTCTGGGTTTCTCGCTCTTCTTCTGCTCTCCTGGACTGGCTGCTTGGGGCTGGGAGCAGTGGGCAGCAGTTTGGCTGTCAGGGATCACATGCTCCTCATGCGGGCCCCAGCAAGCCAGAGGGGCACAGGCAGTGTGTGCGCGCGCACACAAAACATGGGAGCTGCTCGAGCAGCAGGGCCAGGGGGCTGCAGCTTAGGAGCGAGGGGCACAGGCAGGGCACAGGCATATTACTGCTCCCCCCTCCCCACAAGTCATATGCCCTTCCCTTCCCCCTCTCCCAGATGTCCCCTTTTTTTGATGCTGGAAATATGCTAACCCTAGATTGACTTCTCTTTGTTAACAATGGCAGCAGTCATGGTTGACACCATGTTTTAGGTAACATTACTCTTCAGTTTGTTTTCTTACTGTGTAATTTTTCTAACAAATACAAGTATGTCCTGGTTGAAGCAGGAGGCATGTTCTCCAAGTATAAAGTGGATATAAGCATGGAAGAGGGGACAGGAAAAAGTCCTGAGCATGTCCATGGACTATTACTTTGCAAGTGAACACAGACTGAATTTTACTTAAGAGAAATATCTTACAGTAAAAAAGACAATTATAAGCTTCCTTTAAGAAGGCAACAGTTTAGGTGAAACTGAACACACCAAGACTTACAACTGAGCTGTAAAGAAACTAACATGGTACAGTAAAGTCAAATACCCTGAAGTGTATACTTTGACCAATTTCCAGGTCAACCACCATGATTAAATGAAAACAGTATACCATTGATATTAGGAAACAGCCATAGAACAATCTCTGAACTTTTAATCTGAAACATCTTGTGCTTAAATAACTAGGCAAACCACGTTCAAAGAAACACATTTCTCCAGGATGCTAAAATGTGCCATGCGGGATTCCAAACATGGTTCTTTAGCTGTAAACTTAATAGGATTATTTCCTACCTGTAATGTACATGTGTAATTGTTGGTTGCCTGTAGCCAAGAATCCAAGTCTGGATGTCTATGGGTTCAGCTCTGGGATACGCAATGGTTATATCTATCACCCACTGCAGGCCTTTTAATTTGTTCTCTAGGAATAAAATACAAAAAAAAGAGGAGGTATTAAAATTACACCAAATGACATGCCACTGGTTTGATATTCATCACAGAGTTACTTTTCATTATTACATAATTTATTACATCTCCAAGCAAACTTAAAACCAGTGAAGCAGACAGTTCAAGGTAAAAGGGGTGGAGGCCGACTCCATAGAAGTGGACAGCAGAACTCCTACTGACTGCAGTAAGGCTAGAGTTATACCACATGTCAGTTACCCGGTTGTACTTGGTACTGTGCCATGCACACCGATGGAACGACATCGATTCTTTAGGAAGACCCACGTAATACAATGGGCAATGATGGGTGCCTATACACATCCAGCAAGGTTGCTCCAACGTGCTGTAGTTACAGCATATCAGAGCAGATTTGATTAATCAAGTCTGCTGGAGCGTGCTAATTATTGTGCTCCAGCATCATGCATATCAGCGTCCATGCAATGAAAAACAGCAGCAGGGGCACTTTAAGTACAGCTTGCTTGACAAGCTTTAGTTAAAGAATCCCGGCTGCCATTTTTCAGTGTGGGGACGCCAATACATGTGGCGCTCCGGCTGCTTTAGTTAGAGCAGTTCTTAAAGCTGCTCTAATTGAAGTGCTCCTCTGCCCCACCCCCCACTCCTGGAGGCTGTGCACACCTATACCATTAATGAGTTTTGAGGATGGACTTGAATGCAAAAACTTAGAGAACCTACTAGTGACACCAAGCTGGACAGAATAGCAAACACTATGGCACAGGAATAGGACTCAAAAGGACCTTGATCAATTGGAAACATGGCAAGAATAAATCAGCTGATAAATAATTGCAATTATTGTTGTCACAATTGCAACACTGAAGATGCACAAACACAAAGTGAGAAGCAACTGCCCAGGCAGGAGTGGTGCAGAAAAAGATCTAGGGGACACAGCAATCACAGGGCAAATATGAACTAACAGTGTAACACTGTGGCCAGAAAAAAAAAACCGAATGGAACACTGGGATGTAGTAAAAGGTGCTGCACCTGGGGAGGAACAACCGGCACCATACCTACAGGTTGGGGAACTCCCCTCTCGTCAGCACGGAGGCGGAAAAGGATCTTGGAGTCATCGACTCCAAGATGAACATGGGCCGGCAGTGTGGGGAGGCAGTTAGGAAGGCCAACCGTATCTTGTCATGCATCCACAGATGCATTTCAAGCAGGTCCAAAGAGGTGATCCTCCCCCTCCATGCGGCACTGGTCAGGCCACAGCTGGAATACCGCGTCCAGTTCTGGGCGCCACACTTCAAGAGGGATGTGGACAGCATGGAGAGGGTCCAGAGGAGGGCCACTCGCATGATCAGGGGACAGCGGGGCAGGCCCTATGAGGAGAGGCTACGGGACCTGAACCTGTTCAGCCTCCACAAGAGAAGGCTGAGGGGGGATCTAGTGGCCTGTTATAAACTAGTCAGGGTGGGGGAAATCAGCAGGCATTGGGGGAGTCCCTGTTCCCCCGAGCACTGCCAGGAGTGACCAGGAATAAGTCACAAGCTGGCAGAGGGTAGATTTAGGCTAGATACCAGGAGGCGTTATTTCACGGTCAGGCCGGCTAGGGTCTGGAACCAGCTTCCATGTGAGGTGGTGCAGGCTCCTACCCTGGGGGTTTTTTAAGAGGAGGTTAGATGAACACCTTGCTGGGGTCGTTTGACCCCAGTACTATTTCCTGCCATGGCAGGGGGTCGGACTAGATGATCTACTCAGGTCCCTTCTGAGCCTAGAAACTATGAAACTATGAATGTTCCACACAACGCATGGGAAGAGCTCTTCCACTCCATTCAAGCACTGGTAAGGCCTCCCGTGGAGTCCTGTACCTAGTTTTGGACATCGCATTCCACGCAAAGCAGGGGCAAACTAGAAAGAGTCCAGAAGAAAGCAATAAGTGGTTAGAAGTCTAGAAAATGGACCTGTGAAAGGAAGGTTGGAAGAGCTGAGATGATGTGGTCTGCAAAAGAAAAAACTGAGGATTTTCTGATAACAAGCTTCAAATACAAAAAGAGCTGTTAAGAAGAGAGTTTGGCTTTTTCTATCATTTTGTCTCCATATGCTAAGGGATAAAAAGGGTGTCTTTGATAGCAACAGGGAAGTTTTAGGTCAGATATGAGGACGAACTTTCTAATTCTCAGAGCTGTAAAGCACTAGTAAAGATCACCTAGAGAGACTGCAAAATCTCCAACATTTTAAGGTTTAAGTGAAGCTTAGATAATTGTCTGGGGTGGTTTCGACAGGTGTTCCTGCCTTGAGTAAGGGAGATTGGACGAAATGGCCTCCTAGAGTTCCTTTTAACCATATTTTTCTACAATTTTATGAAATTGTTTTTTTAAAGCATGGCTGTAGTTAAACACCACCAATCCTTTAACATAAGCATAAGAACTCAACAGACCTAAAAG